GATTTAGCAATCAGTCTATATGTCAATAATAGCATAAATCAGGTGCATTCCTCTGAAGCATAAACTTAGTATAAAATAAGTTTTTGACAGAAAATACAGGTGCCATGGTAACACTGGATTCAAAAACTCATCACTTTTAAAATGAGAATGCAGAAGAGAATACATAAATCTAGGTGTAGTAAGACTTTTCTTTGAGGTCTGTTATTTCTCTCCTTTAATTAGTGCCCTTCTAAGAAGCATGTTGTGCTACTTGAAAAAAAGTTTACAATGTTTGTTCAAATTCTATGACCTTTAGAAAAATAAAGCACCTTACCTGGCAAGCTCAGTTCTGGGTGGGCAGAAATGGCACAGTGATTTTGTGCTTTTGGTTATGAGATGTAGATCATGGGTTTGGTAATTCAGTTTTATTCTTCTGTATTTTTAATTTTTATAAATCTTAGGAAGAAAGTGGAAAGGAGCAATACTACATCCTATAGAGAGATATGACTTGAAGAAATGCATGTCATGAGATAACTATCTTGCAAGACCATTTGTTACACTAGTAGGGCCAAAATAATATTACTGTATAAAGAACTTCTGAATCAGAAAGTCATAGGTAAAATATCTGATATAAAGAGCACAAACTAAATTGCAAATTACATAGATTCATCACATATTGTAAACTGGTGTGTTTCTTAGCTGAAACTATGAAAATGTAAAACAAATTTGCAAACATTGCAAATACTCAGTTTCCTGTCTTAAAATAAAATATACAGCTCTTTAGATGAAAGTATTTTAATTCAAAATTGTTGGAAAACAATAACAAAGTTCAAACTTTTATACAAAATTTTGGAATTTTGAGTCAGTACTGAGATGCATGGATTCTATCAGCTGAGCAGAGCTTGATTTTAACTATTTTTTTGTCCTTTTATTTTCCTTTTAGATGCTTTAGTGCAGCTGACAGTGATAAGCACCCCTCTTCTGCAAAAGAATCCTGGATTACACAATGATGACACTTGCAGTTTGCCCAGCAAGTGGAGATAGACGCTTTCCTCTGCCACAGCTTTGGGATGGCATACCTCCTTTGTGCTGCCCCAGCTCCTGAGCAGTGCCACTCTGGACTTCATGAGGGATGGAGTGGGCAGAGCTAAGAGAGCAGTGGCTGCATTCCTTGCTCCATCACTTTTCCTTAGAGAAAAGGTGATTTGTGCATGCTGCACAGGCCTGCCTCCTGTCCTCTCCTGTGCTGGTGCATGGCAGGCAGGCTGTCACAACCATCCTGTGTGGAGGAGAGAGCAGGAGGATAACTCCTTGTCAGAGCAACTTGAGGCAATTCCAGGAGCCTTATGGAACTGCTGCCTTGTTTCCACATTTTCCATTAGTTACCAGACTCATCTGTAGCTTTTCCCTTTTTCTTTGTGTAGCTGTTATATAACAAGGGTCATGCAAGTACAAAAAAATCCCCAATAATAAAACATGTAGTTTCCCAGTATGTAATTTCCCAGTAGTGATGACTTCTGGCAGTGAGCTTCATATGTCCTAATCTAAAACAAAGGCAGCACAGGAAGAGAAAGTGACTCAGTCTTTGAGTCTCAGAAAGCAAATTATCTAACCAATCTAGTCTGGTCTTTATGAGCTTGAATGAGGTGTTTTGCTAGGCTTGGATTATTTCACATAGTGATATGTATTAGGAAGAATGGAAGCTCCTTATGAAACTGATAAAATATGTTGCTAAATGCTCTTTAGCTGAAAGATTTTAGAGGTATTTTTGTTTCACCCAGCCAGTAACCAAGCCCCATGCAGTCACTAGCTTACTTCTCCACAAGTGAAATCACAGAGACAATTGGAGGGATAAAAGCCAAAAAAAACTCATGGGCTGAGATAAAAGCAGTTTAATAGGGAAACCAAAAGCTTCACACACAAGCAAGGCAAAACAAGGAATTGATTCACCACTTCCTGTGGGCAGGCAGGTGTTCAGCCATCTCCAGGAGAGCAGGACCCTGTCATATAAATAGACACTTGGGAAGACAAACACTATCACACAAAATGTCACCCTCTTCCTCCTTCTTCCCCGACTTTATATAGTGAGCCTGATACCATATGGCCTGGAATATCCCTCTGGTCAGTTGGGGTCACCTGTCCCAGCCATGTCTCCTCCCACCCTCCCAAGCACCCCCAGCTTCCTCACCCGTGTGGCAGTATGAACAGCAGAAAAGGCCTTGGCTCTGTATAAACCCTGCTCAGCAATAACAGAAACACCTCTTTATTATCAACTCTGTGTTCGGCACAGATCCAAAACAAGTGTATGGCATCCCATACAAAACCGCTGTGAAGAAAATTATACCAGCAGAAAGCAACACAGGTATATATTCCTGAGGGTGCTTTCCTCAGGGAAATTACCATACTTCAAAGCTTTATTTTCTCCTAAAAAGGTTTACCAGTACATTTTTTGGTGATTTGGTAAAGAGGAGGGCTAAGACTTTTATCAAGAAGGAAATTTAGGGTAATGCTGACCCCATGTCTGAGTCAGTGCAAGTCACCTGCTGGAAGCCCCTTACATCTAGAGCAGTCCTGTTTTTCCAGAGCCTAGAAATGTCCCATCTGTCCAGAGCTGTCCCCGTTCTCCTACCACGTGGAAAAAGGTGCTGCCATTTCCAGTGGTTTCATGGCCTCTTCCTAACTAAAGTACTTCAAACCTCGTGTTTGCCTGAGCACCTGTCCCTCAGTTGTGGTCCTGTGCTGGGAAGCAGGATGCTTCACTCATGCAGCTCTGTGGAGTGCATTCCTCATTGCTTTGCTCTGTACGTGTGATGTGCCTTTGCCTTCCTCCTGCAAAGACATACCACAAAAAGTATGTCTCCCCAGCAGGTGAAACTCTCTCTGCACTTCATCCACCTGGATTTCCATGAGGCTGAAAGAACTAAAGATGTAGTCCAGTTTCTAACAGCTGCTTCATCTTGAGTGTCAGTCTCTTCTCCCTGGTAGCAAGCAGTAGGATGAGACAAAACAGCCTCAAGTTGCTCCAGGGTAGGTTTAGATTGAATATTAGGAAATATTTGTTCATGAATAGGGTTGCCAAGTCCTGGAACAGATTGTGCAGGGAAGTAATAGAGTCTCACCTAGGTGACATTTAAAAGATGTGTAGATGTGACATAGGGGTATGGTTTAGTGATGGACTTGGCAATGCTGGGTTAATGATTGGACTTGATGGCCACAGGGGTCTTTTCCAACCTAAATTTTCTGTGATGCTATGATCTGCTGCTGGGGGAGGAATTGTTGTGGAAAATTAAGTGCTGGCTATGGTTCTCTTTGAACACCCTTGGAAGCCCTTGGGAGCCTTGATGATTCTTTGCCTGCTCAACTCTTCTGTCCCCACCTCTTCTTTCGTGAGTCCTTCAAATCATACCTCTTCCTGGCAAAGCAGGTGGAGTAAAAGCAGACAACTTTCCTTTCAGCACTGCAAGAATGACCCCAAAAGTATGTACTCAAACCAGTGTTGTGTTTATATTTTAATTACCCACTGACATGACCTTTGGATGAGTTGTCCTTCCAGTCATCCCAGAAAGATATTGTCAGTACAGCACTTCTGAAAACATTTTGGAAGACACTGCAGTATTAACTCCATTTCAGAGATGAAAAAATCACCAAATGAAAAATCAAGTAACTTTTAACTGCTAAAGTAGACACGCAGAGCCAGGGACTGTGGGAAGCTTTATCTGTGCCAGAAATTCAGGCCAGCATTTTTCAGACATTAGCATTCCCAAAGCAGCACCTATAGTTGTTGGTTTTTAGCCATTCTTAGGGCAATATCTTACCAGATTAATTAAGTCAACTACTAGCAAACATCTTGTTAACTTCTGTGCAAGTAATTTAGAAGTCTTAAAGTAACTTGCTTGGTCAGTCTTCCCTTGTTATGTTTAGGGAGACAAAAGAGATATTTCAGAAAGCAGAACAGCAGAAATATTATCTACTTAGATAGCAATCTGAAGTGAATAAATGCAACTCAGTTATCGACTGAAAATGTCTTTTGTTGCTTTATTCTGCCACTTAGTGCCAACAGCCTGTGCCAAGCGCAGACTTGATTTGCGTCACCACTATGGTGATTTTGTCCCTATGCTAATTTTGTAATGTATGACAGCAATAACCTTGTAAATCTTGGACTTACAGGGAGGCAAACATGAAGTAAATGAGTTGTGAGATTTTTATGGTTATTCTTTCCTGCAATATAGATTTATGGAAATGCTGTCCATCAGGGAGACTTCTTGCCTGTTATGTGGCACAAATGTGCATTAATTTCAACCCTTTTAATAAATCTTCAAGGGGAATAACAACAATAGTAATGCAATAGCAGCAACAATAAATAATACTCATAAAATCACAGATCAGAGTGGTTTGGGTTGGAAGGAACCTTTTCCCTCATTCATGGATAGGGACGCCTTTCACTGGACAAAGTTGTTCACAGCTCCATCTGACCTGGCCTTGATTTTTCCAGGCATGGGGCATTCACAACTTCTCTGGACAATGTGTGCCAGGGATTGATCACCCTCACAGGGAAGTATTTATTCTAAATATTTAATCTAATCCTCTTACTTTTTAGCTCAAAGCAATTCCTTCTTGTCCTGTCCCTCCATGCTCTTGTCAGAAGTCCCTCTCCAGTTCTCCTGTAGCCCCTTTGGGCACTGACAGGAGGTCTAAGGTCTCACGAGAGCCTTCCCATCCTGGCTGGACAGCTCCAGCTTTCTCAGCCTATCTTCATAGTAGATTTTCTTCAGCCCTCTAATCATCATCATGGCTTCCACTGGACTTGCTCTGCTTCTTGTTTTGGGAAGTTATGGTTTGAAAAACCAACAATAATAATAAACCAACAACAACAATAAGAAAAATATTAAAATGGAACAACAAAATAGTAAAATATTGAAATTATAAAACAATGAAACAATAAAATAGTACAATAACAAAGTAATAAAACAGGAAATAATAATGTAATAACATCATTAACTCTATTACTTGTGTGCAAATGGGTCTGTGGCTGCTGGGGGTCTCAGTGGTGGGAAGATGCTCCAGTGTCCTGAAGCTGGAGCAGTGTTTTTTTGGAGGCTGGAGGGGTGGAGGTTATTTGCAAGCAATATTTTTCCTCTGCTCCCAACACTGCATCAAAAGCAAAAAAACAGGTAAAAAATTGGAAAAAAACCAACAAAAACCCACCCAAAAATCAACAAAACACAAAACAAAACAAAACAAAAACAAAAACAAACAAAAACAAAACCAAAAAACCCCTCAAACAAACGAACAAGAAATTAAACAGAAACAAAAAAAAGGAAGAAAAAAAATGTGCAGCTCTTTTCATCCATTTTGGTTTTAAACAGTATTCTGGAATAATTTAATTCAAACTAAAAGCAAATACTTAGTAAGCAAAAGATTTAAAGTATAGTGTCACTGGTGATTAATTTTTATTTAAATTAAAGACCTGTTGAATTCTTAACTTTTCATTTCTACAGATTACAAAAAACCATCAATACAATTTCTGTTCTTTGGCCCTCCCTTTACACAAGCCTCTAAATTATGTGAGGGACTTCTGGCTATGGATGGAGCATATCCTGACAGGTAAAAAAACCTTGTTCACAATATTAGCTGAATAATTCAAAGCCCTTGGACAAATTTGCAAAAGTTCCTGGCTTTGCCATCTGTTTTATGTAGAATTGTGTTTTCAGGTCTCACAATTCCCTTTCTTGTTTTAAAACCAGCTGCAGCTCATCATCACTGAATTAACATGATCAGAGGTTTGGACTGGACTGATATTGTTTGGGTAAACTCACTTGTGTGTCTGGAGGTGAGAACATTTACTCAAATTCAATTCCTACAGAGTGCAACTGCTGAGTCTGGAAACACTCTGTGAACTTCAGAGTTCCATGAATTGCAGGAAATCTTGGAAAAAAAGCTTGTTAATGGGAGTGTTTTCAACTTTTCATGGGTAAGGCCAGATCTTTAGCTTATCTCTAATTCTCCTTATAGCTTGCATCACGAAGACGGATGTATTTCAACTTATATAATTGCCTTTCATATGTTTTAATATATATGGCAAGATGTGAAATGAAGTGGTACCTGCCGACTTTATAATTTTTATCTAAATAGTCTGAGGTGGGGTTATTTTTTAAGGGAAAGAGTTTCTAAAATTAAAACATAGTTTTAGACTATTAAATTTTAAGGTGTTTGGACTGAAACAACTGTAGCTACAAAAGCAGAGGTCAATACCAGAATTGAGGTTCCTTTAAAATAAAAAAAAAAAAAAAAAAAAAAAAGCAAACTTTTTTCTTTTTAGGGGGGTTTTGTGGCTGTTAAGGCAATGAAGGAAAATCTCACTTTGCATTTACATTGTACGACATATGCTTAGCTGGAAAAATGTTCATTGCTTTAGACTGATGGTGGAAAAGAAAAGAAATTTAAAGTGAAGGTACTCAATTTATCTCCAATTTGAGAAAGTAATCTGGTTTTAATATTTTTGAAGTGTGTTGGAAATGACCATTTGACCTTTTTGATTTTTTTTTTTATAAAAATCTTTCTGTGTTTTCAAAAAAGCATGGCAGATGCATTTCATTAAACCTACATTTCTTCATTGAGTTTTCTCCATAGATGTGTGTTAACCTGCCTCTGCAAATAATTGAATGAATGAATGAATGAATTGAATGAATGAATCATTCCTTGATATTGAAAGTCAGTGGTTCCCAGTTTCTTCTTTTAATTAATATGGCTTTTTTTTTTTCTCTCAACACAGGTTTTCTCTTATCTTCAACCAGGAATGGTCTGATTATTTTTGTAGGGCAAGATGACCCCACGTGTCTTTGTTCTTCCAGCTGTAACCAGTTTCCACAGACTTCACTATCCAAATGCACCTTTTGAGACCGTGGGTACCACACTGAATCTGAACACATGAGAGATGAATCAAGTTTCTCAGCAGAAATGCTGGTGAATTTACCATATAGGTTTAACACAATATTGGTTTTAAGGGGAGAAGAAGGAGGGAAAGAGAGACTATTTGAATGGCCAACAAGGAGGATGATAGAAGCCTGTCTTACCTGATTATGGTTGGGACAGAAGGCTGCAAGTAGAAGTGGAGTTGTGTGACAGTAGACAGCCATACAGGCCTAAACCAAAGGGAATAAGGCTTTATGGCTGACATTAAGCTGCTATAAACTCAGATAAGAATGAGTTTCCTACACAACCAAAGTGAGGGAGCTCTTGGTTTATTTTGTTTTATCCTTTCAGTTTCTTAACATATTAAAAGCCTGGCCAAACTCAGAATAGGGGAGATATTGAGAAAAGGTCATCTGAAGGTGGAACCACATGGACAGTGTCAACTCTGGCTTACAGCTGCAGAATATTTGTGCATCACCTACACCAGTGGGCACAGGAGGAGGAGTAGATAGACTGAGTCCTGCTCCCTTTCCTTCTCTTTGATTCAGAAGCTGGAAACAGGAGAACATGGCACGCTTGTGACCTGGTTTTTGCACTGTCCTTCAGGAACTTGATAGCAGTCCAAAAAGCATTCCTCAGATCACAGGCTGTTGACACAGTACCTCAATATGAACTGTGAAAAGGCTGGCTTCGTTCTATATTTACTGCCACTGGCAGCCATCAGGAACCATGCTGTGCTTGAAGCATTTCTAGCATGCTCAAAGCTAGCTCGTAAGCCCCAGAAAATGAATGTTACACAACAAACTGGATCTGATATAACTGGGCTTAGGGTATCTCCAGGTGATGCCCCTTGCATTGACCTACTGAATATTAGCCATGATGTTGTGATTCTTGATTTAAAAATTATTTTTTGTGCTGTTTTTTTTGCTAGTTTAACTCCCTGAGCTGCCTTACTGTAAGGCCAGCTGAGTACTAGCAGGAGGGAAAACAAGTCAGATGCTTTAGTGCAAAAGAGTGTGAGGTTCATCACTGTCTTACTAGGCCCATAAAAATAAAAAGGGGCAAAAAAAGTACAAGAGAAACCTGGTATATAGACGGTAAGAGAAATATATATTTAAATGTCCTTTGGCAGACCACAGAACATCCCTTCTATGAGGAAAGAATGGATATAATTCGGTTGAAAATTTTTATTCTTTAAAAAGGAAATTAAGATTTTTGACCTCTGAAAGGAGGAAGAAAAAAGAGCTGACAGTTGCTGATTCATTTTTCTTTTCTCCCTTCCTTCAGTAATTGCAATAGGGTTATCGTTATGCTTACCGAAGTAGTTAAAATCCTGGAAGCATCAGAAAATGAGCTCAAATCAAATTCAAATAAAATTCAAACATGTAAGTTTGCATCTGTGAACAAGCCATAGAGTTGTACATTCATTACCAATATATAAATGTGAAAATTTCTTACCATATGTTGATTCGTGGATTTTATGTATAGAAGATGGACAGTAGTTTATCTTCTGTTCTGACTTCCCTTCAGCTGGGAAAAAAAAAAAAAAAATCTCTGACTCATGCTGAAATGTATTTTGTATGGGTTGTGATGGTTTTAACTTCCAGCCTCAGTTTACAAGATATGCTAGGCAAAAACAAAGGAAGGAAAAACAATAGCCTCAGGTGAATGAAGTCATGTGTTAGGAACTCCTGGAAGGGAGAGGTGGACAAGTCTTAAAGTTTTTCAGCATGTATCAAGTAGAAAGTAAAGTCCAGAAAAGAAATATTCAAGCTAGATTTCTGCAAGTGATTCAACTATTTTTTTCTCTTTTCTCTAGTAAGCCAACTTTATTACTGTGGTATTGCTGAAACCTCAGCCAGTTTCAAACCAATAATCCTAGTTACTCAAAATCCTTGAGGGTTCACCTTTAGTTTCTCTGTCTTGGATACAAAAGGGTAATTTTTATATTTGTTAAGACATTGATTAAATTTAAAGTCTGTGGTGTGACTCTTGAATTTAGAGGCAGCAATTCTGCTGTTGCATATTTACTGGCATGGGAAGTTAGTGATCAGAGACAGTTAATCATCCTCTCACAGAGTAAATGAACTAAGAATATAATAAATGGTGCTGCTCTGCACTTTTGTGATTGTCTGTATTATTTGAGACACATCACCCACTTCCACTATAATACCTTAAGAATACTGTTAAAAACATAGCCTCTGAATAAGTAGGAGATCTATGCAGAAATGGGAACTTGTGCAAAACCCCCCAGAGAAGTTATGAGCAGTGCTGGTGAAACAGCAGCCAGAGGTCAGCAGTAGCTTTCATGAAGAAAAACTCATAAACAAGCTGGTGAGTCAAACTCATTTCCTTGACTAACAGGAGTAGGATTTCATAAACACAGCAATCTCTTAGTGCTCTCCAAACCAACTGTGAACTGTTTTTGTCAGTTTATGCAGCAGAGAAACAGAGGGGAAGGCAGCTTTTTCCAGCTCTTTTGGAAACACTTCTAAAAAGAGGCTCTTTCAGAAAATATAATAGTTGTTAGACTTTGGGTAACAGGGGAGACATTTTATTAGGACTCATTTAACTTGGCACTCAACACTGCCTTCTTTCTGACCTACTCTTTGCTGAACTGGTATATTTTTTCATGTTTACTCCATGTGTTATGTCATGGTGGCCTAGTGTCCTTCTTAATGTATTTACTTGTGTTTGAAAAGGTCAGTGTGTAAGACCAACCTAATAAAACACTCCATCTCATAAAATTCACTGTCTTTCTAGTGAGGCAGCACTGTCCTTCAAATCCTCTTCATTTTAGTGGAAATCCAGATAGATCAGATTTGTAAGGGAGGTAAAGACCTCACTAATGCAAATACTTTGTATTTAAATTCAGAACACTGTTTCAAGCATTTATTATGTTTTATGAGCCTTTTCAAAATGTTGTGAACCAGATGATCAAATATAAAATGTATTCTGCATTCCGTTAAAACTTTATTCCAAAGGTTCTATTTAAAATATTTTCATTCACAAAAAAGTTGATAATGTCTTTAGCCCAGTTCAAAAATATTCTGGCATTGGTCCTCGGTGCAACTGCAGACCAGTTGCACACCATGAATTCACTTCCTTGGATATTTCATGCCTGTGGTCATACAAGAGGTCTACGTGATAGTCAGGAAATGCAAAGAACACTCTGAGATTCAAAGTCCCACTTGCAGCTGCCCACGGTGGAGGATTGACTTAGCTTACACACACACTCGTTCAGATCTTCAGGTGGGCCATGTCTGCAAAAATTTCCTGTGTTGTTCTGCAGCTGTGTTCTTTGTGTTACATCATTAATGGTGTTGACACTGAAAAGGTATTGAAACCTCACAATATACTACTGATCTAAGGGTTTGGTAAATAAACCATAGACTGTGAAGGAGAGAATGTGTTTGTCTCCTTATCTCTCTAATTTTGTCTTGTTCTTGTTCAAAGAGATTTAGTCTTGCTGGAAGGCCAGGATCCCATGCAAGAACTTTGTTTTTTGTTTCTTTGTTTCTTGTTTCTCGGTTTCTTGAAGACTCAGACTAGCATTGCCCCTGTCTCAAGGATGTGCTGCTGCTCTTGCCACCACTTAGCCCATGTAGGCAGAGAGAGGAGGTGGGGACACGTCCTGACACTGGTTCCTCCTGCTCTCCACTGCTGGTGAAAAGCAATAACTCCTCTTCCATTTCTGTGAGCTGGTGGCATAACCTGATAGAGCAGGTCTTGAATCATCACAGTACAGTGAAAGCTGTCCATCATCCATATTAAATGCCTCTCACACTACTCTTCTGTCCCACTCTGCAGGCAGAGTTCATGTCGTCAAGATTTTGGAGCATGTGCTTAACCTTTAGATATTAGAGTGGTTGGTTGGCACTAAGTTTTTTCAGTGAAAATAGACACCAACTTTCTCCAGCATTGTCAGTGGGGAGTGGAAAGATTTCTTCTGCTAGATATGTTTTAAAATGTACCAAGATGCATATCAAATGAAAAAAACCTAATTTTTTCTCAAAGTTCACCCTGTCATTTTTTAAGAAACCTCTGCACTATGACTCGTGCACTGAAGGGTTATCTGCTACTATTTCTATGGCATAAACTCATCCTTCATAACAAGGGCTGCTTCTTGCATTCCTCTCCTTTTCCCCTCACAGCCTCCTTGTGTGCCACTTGCTTCTTATCCTGAATTCCAACAACAAATCTCACATTTCTTCAAAAATTTTTCAATGGCAATTCTTTCTTTATGCCTTTCCTTTCTACCACTGCAGGATTTTTATGTATTTCTCTGGTTTTGCTGTTTTCCCTTTTATCTTTATGCATCCACTCCTTACCACTCTCACTCATTTCTTTTTTTCTTCTTTCCCTCTCTCAGGAGAGAATGCTTTCAGAAGTGTATTAGAAAGCTGGCAGAGTTGAAATGGAATAATTTCATTGGCAAAAAGTCAAAGGCTACTAAAGTTTGAAGTTTTGATGATCACAGTAAACCCTCCACCCTTCTGTGTTTCTCTTTTCCCCAGTGGTAGTGTAGAGTTTTGCCCTTCTATTTTCCTTGAAACTTCAAAACTGATTGAGTACATGTGACATATGCTGTTGTGTAACAGTCAAAAAGAGCAATATCTTAAAGCTGAGAAAAAGCTCAGTCATCAACACCAAGAAGCTAACCTGGAGAAGAAAATTTTCTCAGCTGGGAGAAGATCCTGAAGACCTGAAAGCATCTTCATCCTTAAGAATCAGGGTGCTGAGTGGAACAAGAAAAAGGATCACCTGTGGAGAGAACCATGGAGAGAACACCTGTCTATAGACACAGAGCTTTGAACAAGCAAAAACTCCAAAAATACAAAACTCTCAAACTCTGAATAGCTGGAAATCAGAAGGTTTCTGACCAGGTTTTGTTTTGTTTTTTATTTTTCAGTCATGACTGTGTCTAAGTGTGTGCAAACTCAGGAAGTGAAAGATAACAACAAATGAATTTGTTGGCAAACTGCTGTGAATTTTCATGCAATATTTTGCTATAGTGCAGTTATTTCACCTGGAAAATTATAATGGCTGCAATTATTTTGGAACTGTGTTTGTCAGAGAAACTTGGAATGGAAACACAATAAAGTTAATATTCTTTTTGATAGAAAGTGAATGAATTTGTATGCTGAAGTTGTAGATATAGCCTTATTGTACCTCGTATATGCAACTCTGTGTTGTCATCTAGGACAAATTTAGGAAAACATTTAGGATCTTCTGTAGAAACAGGGAGCTAAAACAATGTGCACGACTGCTGAAGATAGACACACAGCAAAATAGAATTTGAACCTTGGAGCCCCATGAGATTTCCTTAACATCACATAGTAAATGCAAGGGCTGGAATAATTGACAGGATTATGGGAGAGAGAAACATTACAAACTCCTGCTGACAAAGAAGTGGCAAGTTATCTCAGAAACAAGAGGAGAAACCCTGATTAAGCATAAAGAAAATACTCAAAATTCATTGTCATTGAAGTGCTGGGCTAGCTGAATAGGATCAAGCAAAAATGAGTGACATACAGTATCTTAAAACTAATATAGAGATGATTTCTATATGTCCATGAGTAAGAATTTGTAATAATGTTGGGAATGTAACAGGCAAACTTTGGTGCTAAAGAATATATCCTACAGTAAATATTGAACTCTATTTCAGGCAACCCAGTCCTCACATTTACATTAGGTTTTCCACATCTGTTTCATATCCAATTTATGTCAACAGCAATTGAAATCTGTTTCCATCTGGGTTTTGGGTGGGCTGCACTGAATGAATTACCAGGAAAAAAGTAACTTCTAGCATGAATTAAACATCATTCAAAGTCCTCTGGTACCTTCTGTGAGCTGAGTGGAGAAGCTGTAGAGCCTTGACTTGTACGGAATTGGAAATTAAGGAACCAAATTTTACAGAAGTAAGGAAAAATGCTCCATTCAGTCTGAAGAATTATGGGTTAAGATATAGGGCCTTCTATACAGTGATATTTGCTTATTATACAGAAACTTTTAATAAGCACCCACATGTCCACAAGTATTTTACTTTGCAAAATCTCTTTCTTTTGGTCTGCATCTAATGCACACTGTATCTCAACCATAAAGTTTCTACATTTATAAGAAAGAAATTACTAGACAAATAAAAGAGTGGGAACAGATGTTAATGTCCTCACTCTAGGGAGGTCAAATGTAAATTCACTCCAGGAGACCAAACTCAGTAATTGGGCTGCCTAACAAATTAGATTCCCAGTGTGTGCCTTGATATGTACAAGTTCTTTGTTTTCACACAATAGCTTCTTTATCACTGAAATCTCCATATTATGAAACAAAAACATTTCTTGCAATATTCTGTTGAGGAAATAAAACAGTATAATATGAATCTTTAAGTAAAAATTCAGTGTTACAGCCTTTGGCTTGGATGTTACATCAATAGGTAAATCAGGTACAGACACATGAAGGGGGGCTTGTTTTCATAACCCAATCTTGCTTTTGGAGAAGTTAATGGGGCGTTTGTTACTGGCAATACTAAG